GAAGGTTTAAAAAACTCTTCAATGCCCTTCACCTGAAAAACATTATTTAAAATCAGCTCGAACAATCATGTGCTGACCAGTGAGGTGAAGAATGTTTCTTTGAATAGGAAGATTTTAAACATGACCTACTAACTTTATTAGATAAGCCTCAAAGGTTAAGACCTATTGTTTAAGAGAAAAGTGAAAGAAAATTCAAACCAGTAAACATATACACAACTGGTCGTGTTAGTATTCATTTGGACTGCAAAGAAGGAACTGATTTACAAAATATTTAGCCAAACCAGATAGCTGATAAAAAAAAATCCCACTGCAGTTTTTTTTTTTTGTTTTGTTTTGTTTTGTTTGTAGTTTTGTCTCTGTACGCTGATTGTAAATCAGTGAATGTGTAACTGAAGTGCAGACTTTCAGGTTTAATTCAGTATTTTTATACATGACCTGTATCAGAATTACAGCTTTTTTCAGACAGAGGTCCTCACTTTCAGAGTATTAGAATTATTGGGACAACTGACTGACAAGCAATTTTATGGCCAGATCAGGCCTGCTTCTTTGTTCTGAAGTGAGCAGACATACTATCTGATGTTGATTCAAATTGTCATATTTGCATTTATAGCTTATTGTTGTAATTTAATTTAAATTATGAAACCCAAAGACACATTAGTGAAGGTCATTGAGACCATGACTATGCTGAAAAACCAACTGCACATTTACCTGCTTTAGACAAACCAGAAAACTCAAAAGGATGGACATATATGGTATATACCTATATTCTTCATTATGATTCCTTTCCACTCACTAATATCAAAAAACAGTGGGACACAGAGTTTGAAGTACAGCTTTAGACTCCTGGAAGGAAAAAGTGCTGCACAGAATCCACTTAAGCAAAGCTAAATGTTTTCCTGGCACTTACGAGGCCTGCAATAGATGTACCTTTACATGTAGGGACGTGTATGGATTTGAATTTTAATCCCTTAAATTAAAGCTGAAAGTGTGAACTTTATTCACATGGATTGTTTGATGTGATGATATACAAAAGCAAAACTAAACAAATTGTGTATTTTTAAATGAAAAAAAAAGCAATCATAAATTAATCATTTATGCTGAAGTTGTACTGTAGGCCTGTACTGTAGGCCATGGTAATTAAAGTGGTTCAGAAACTGTATCATTTTCATAACACTGTAGTTACAGGATTTATCACATGATTACTCCTCCCCATCTATAGCAAATCAATCTAAATTTAAGATATGCAACAATGATGTGTACTGAATAATGTGTACTAAAATATTAACAAAGTGATAAAGTGTAACGTTAACTTGATGCAGTGGATAGAATCATTTGATAAAAAGTAGATAAAATGAAAGTAAAATAGTTATCATTTACTGAGGAAAATGTAATATGTGGTTTTTTTTATTGTTTTGCTTTTTTACTGGCAACAACATATAGGCTCAAAATGTTTTCTCACAGCTGTCATGTCCTAAGAATAGAAACATGCAGAGAAGTTTGCAGCTTGTCAGATCCTTACCACACTGTAGTCTTTACTGCAGTAATCCACCAGTGAAAGAGGAAGATGCCAAAACGGTGCATCTCCGTCAGTCTGTATATGTCCTTTAGAACAGGTGGTCTTGTTTGCTAACTGACCGTGGAAGATCTGAAAACACAAATTCACAAAAACCTGTTCATTTTATTTTAGTTCAGGTTTAATTAGGTTGCACTTGTTCACAATAAAAGTTGTCCAAAGCATTTTATACTATAAGGCAAAGACCCCATAATTAAAAAGTGATGTTTTGATCAAGATACCCTTTGACATCAATGACCTTACCTTTGATGCATCAGTGCTGGTCATTCTTAAAACCCTCTCAAAGTACTCTGCAGCATCACGCTGTTCATACACTGTGATAAATGCATATAATTTTTTTTTTTTTTTTAAAAGAAGTACATTTGTACAGAAGTATATTTGTAATTTTACCCTACAATTTTCCATTGTTATAAGAATTTAATAATTAGATCAATAATATTCATATTTTACTCTTATACAGTGCTCAGGAGTTTACACTGTTTGAAGTTTTTGTTGTTCTGTACCGTTGTCGATGCCCAGCTTCTGTGTTATTTTATATGTGTTTGCTGTATAGTTATGTAAGTCATCAAATAAGGCTTTCAGATGATGATCAAGAAACTCAGTGTGAGGATTTTCTTTAGAGTTCCTACAAAGAAAGTAAACATGAGTGATTAAAAATGCACAATAGACTTTATATATGATAAATACAGAATCATGCTTAAAGCTGGACAACAAACCTTGTCACAGCATCTCTGAAGTCTTCAGTCATGAACAGCACCTGCAGCACACTGTTCAAGTAACATGTAGATCCTTGGTTTATCAGCCCATGGTACGTATTAGCTGATGGGAAGAGAGAGCGCAAACAAAGAAGATATATATTTAAAACATTCGTCTGGATCATAAAACCAAAGAGAAACAAACAAAAAGACCATTTATATTTTATAATTTCTACATTAGGAGTTTAACTGGGTATTTTTTTTTCAATGTTGATATTACTGTAAAATATCTAATTTGCCAATTCTAGTCAAATTCAGTTGTTCACTGTAATTGGCTGATTGAGAAAGATCATGCCGATTTATATAATGTCTCAAAATTTACAGTGCGGGGAGCCAATAAGTCAAAAGAACTGCCTGTAAACCGTTGACCCATAGATCAGGGCCAACTTCGAGCATTGCCAGGAGTATAGTGGCCTCAGTAACTGGTAAACTTAAAACAAACAAAACTCTCTCTTTAGAGTTCAGCATCTCAACCTAGTGCAGGAAATTTGTTAGGAAAATGAACCTGAACATTACTTCAAAAATCCTGAGAGAGATATGTGACTCAGCAATGTTTATATTATATTAATCTATTAAACATTTACGATGATGACGATGTTGACAAAAGCTAAACGAAAAATAAAAACAGCGCTCCAAGTACACGAGAGCTAAAAAGACAAAAAGGAAACATCGAAATCACTGTAGGATAGATATAGAACTTCTAAAAAACAAACAAAAAAACAAACAAAAAGCTCTAAATATTTTTGAAACCTTACCCTGAGGGGTATTTTTGTAAACAATCTGTCTGTACTGTTCGCTCATTTTCAGTGCCGTTCTCCGATCACTTCACTTCTGCACTGCTGAAGGAAACTGCTCCTTAAAAAAAAAAAAAAAAATATTAGCGGTTACGCTAAAAAACCACTAAACAGACAGCGACCTGGAGATCAAGTGAAGCCCCGGAATACTTTCGCTTTCTCTTCCGGTCGCCTTGCCTGTTGCATTCAAGCGATGTTGGAAATCTTCAAATTATCAAAAGACACCCAGATGACTGACAACTAACCCGATTATTAAAAGATGTGAATGAAAATACCTAATATGTCCTGACTCAAAAACACACGTGAATTCATGTAAACTTCTGCACTTTAGATTATGAATATATTTTTAGTTTAGGATCTGAAATTAGTGTAAGATCAAAATAAATTTATTTGAAATGAAGTGAAAGTGAACACAGCATATGAGGTAAATGAACGAAGCAGGGAGAAAAGGATCTTATGCATTTCATTTTTACACAGTACACAGCTTATATTATTGTATTTATTATACCACCATAAGAAAATATGTGTTGTGAAATGCACTCATCTCTACGTCACTTTGAAATTATAACTTTTCATTCATGGAATCATTTATATGGGGCGGCCATCTGCTGAGACCGGTTGGGGTGAGAGAAGGAAGACAGGATAAAAGCATGCTGTGAAAGAGAGACAAAGATTAATAACAGGTACGATTCAAAGTACCTGCAGAGAGGTCTATTAACACATAGTGAGTGAGAAAGGTGACTGCAAAGGAAAAACTCCCCCAGCAGCCTATGCCTATTGCAGCATAACTAATGATTAAAATTTTATTTGTGAAGAAGTTCATGAAATCATTACTAGTTAACGTTAAAGGGATGGTTGGCTCAACAGCGCTCTGACTCTTTGTCAACCTGGCTACAGTGCTGAAGAGAAACCTGGGGTTGTTCTTATTTTCTTCAATCAGTGATGAATAGTAAAATGTTCTGGCCTTGCAGAGGGCTTTCTTATAAAGCAACAAACTATTTCTCCAGGCTAAATGATGATCTTCTAAATTTGTGACACGCCATTTCCTCTCCAGCTTACGAGTTATCTGCTCACTAGTACGATCCAGAGTCGTACGTAGTGAGGAAGTAAAGTTATTAACAAGATAATCTGTTGGAGTAGCGTTCAGGTAGCTGTTCTGCTCTGTGTAGAGCAGAACAGCTACAGGGCATTGAAGATGATAACAGTGGGTCGATTATATTCTTAAACTTAAAAGTCTACTCTCCACTGCTGTGTAATCAATTGTTGCAAATGAAAATGTTATCAGGAAATGATCAGTCAAGAGAGGGCTTTCAGGAAACACTGTTACATGTTCAGTTTCTATGCCATATGTTAAAACAAGATCTAGAGTGTGATTAAAGTGGTGGGTGGGTTCTTTTACATTTTGAGAGAAGCCAAAACTGTCATTTTTAGCATCTACACGGATGTTAAAATCACCCACAATAATTATGTTATCTTTAGCTGAGCACTAAATCAGATAAAAAGTCTGAGAAATCAGACAGAAACTCTGTGTAAGGCCCAGGTTGACGATAGATGATAACAAGTAAGACTGGTTTCTGAGTTTTACAGCTGGGGTGGACAAGGCTAAGCATCAGGCTTTCAAATGAATTAAAAGTCTGTCTTGGTCTATCTGAAGGCTGGTGTGAAAATTTTTTGCCACACCTCGGCCTGCACTTCGAGGTTTCTGGTAGTTAGAATGACTCAGGGGTGTTGATTCATTTAAACTAACATAATCATCCTGCTGTAACCAGGTTTCTGTAATGCAGAATAAATCGATTTGTCGATTAATTATTAAGTCATGTACTAACAGAGACGTGGAGGAGAGAGACCTAATATTTAATAATCCACATTTCACTGTTTTACTCTTTGGTTCAGATGTGGATACTGTATTGTTCTTTCTTTGTGATTTTTTTATGCTTAAGTTGTTTATTGCTGGTTTTTAGTTTGTTTTTTGTCTGTTTGGGAGCAGGCAGAGTCTCTATGGAGATGGGGTTATAACAACTGTTATGAGTTGATAATCAAATGCATAAATTGGTGAAAACACTTGGAACCATAAGTCAACAGATGTGAAAAAACTGTGGGAAATAAACTGACTCACTCTTTGCCTCTCTTGCTCTCCCCGTGTTCTCTTCCCCTCTGGTCTGCATCTCTGTGTACTTTCTATTTTACTTTGATATTCTCCCGGCAGTGTACCTCACATTGTGTTTGCGCCTGCCCAGTCTCGTTATTATTATCAGTGTCACCTGTGTGTCCTGTGTGCTCCCAGGTCCCTCGTTATCCTTCTGTGTATTTATGTTCGCGTCTCCCTCAGTTCTGTGTCTAGTGATGGCCAAATGAAGCTTTCTGAAGCACTGAAGCTTGTATTGAAAAACGATTCATTATTCGAAGCTTTTCAACACAGTCCTCTCTGGTGACATCGGGTAGCCAAAAATATGAAGTGCAGCTTGAATCCACAAAATAAAACCAACTGCTTCATTATGATTGCCCACTCTACAGAGTGGAATTCTGTCTGATATTGGGCCGCCGTTGTGTTGCTTTGAACGTGTATTTTTT